AGAAAAAGAGGCATACAAATAAATAAAATAAAATAGATATTTACTTATTCATTATGAGATAGGATAAGAGTAATAAATTTATTATTATTAGATGTAATTCTATTTTAGTGTTCACAGCCTTTAGGTTTTCAAAGGGCGTATTGCATCGATTTTAGCATTGTTTGCCTTTTACAGAGAGAAAAAGAGACATATAAAAAAATATAATAAGATCTTTACCTATTCATTTTGAGATAGCTTTAGACTAACATTTATTATTATTAGGCGTAATTCTATTCTACAGTTCATAGCCTTTAGATTTTTAAAGGGCATATTGTGTTGATTTTAAGCACTGTGTGCCTTACAAATAGAAAAAGAGGCATGCAAACAAACAAATAAATATATATAATAAGATAGTTCTAGACTAAGAGTAATATATTATTTATTATTAGGTGTAATTCTATTTTAGTGTTCATAGCCTTTAGGTTTTAAAATGGCATACTGTATTGATTTTAGCACTGTTTGCCTTGCAAAGAGAAAAGGCATACAAACAAATAAATATAATAGATCATTACTTGTTCATTTTGAAATACCTCTAGGCTAATAGTAATACATTTATTATTGTTATTAGGCTTAATTATATTTTAGTGTTCATAGTCTTTAGGTGTTTAAAGAGCATATTGCATCCATTATATAATAATAATAATATAACTATTTACCTATTTATTTTGAGATAGCTCAATCTAATAATAATACATTTATTACTATGCAGTGTAATTCTATTTTAGTGTTCCGAGCCTTTAGGTTTTCAAAGGGCACATTACATTGCTTTTAAGCACTGTTCGCCACCTCCAGTTTCTTAAAATGAGGGGGGAAAGTTATACAAATAAATAAATGGAACAGATCATTACCTATTCATTTTGAGATAGGATAATATTTATAATATTATATTAATGCAATGCAATATAATAGCAACAATATATTATAATTTTATATTTATATTACATGTAATATTGCTAATAATATTACAATATAATGGCATAATACAATATAGTAATATACAATACTGATATTGTACTATGCTGATCTATATAAATAAAAATTTAATGTTCACTGGTGGTATTAACAGAACTCAAAAACCACTGGACGAATTACCGCCAAATTTGGCCACAAGACACCTACTCACCCAAGGAGTGACCATCCCTCAAAAAAATTGATGTTGTCATTTGGGAGTTGTACTTGCTGGGATTTATAGTTTATTTACAATCAAAAGCATTCTGAACTCCACCAAAGATGGAATTGAACCAAACGTGGCCCACAGGACTCCCATGACCAAAAGAAAATACTGAAAGGGTTTGGTGGCCATTGACCTTGAGTTTGGAAGTTGTAGTTCACCTACATCCAGAGAGCACAGCAGACTCAAACAGTGATGGATCTAGACCAAACTTGGCACGAATACTCAATATGCCCAACTAGGAACACAGATGGCACTTGGGGGAAATAGACCTTGACATTTGGGAGTTGTAGTTACTCGGATTTATAGTTCACCTACAATCAGAGCATTCTGACGCCCATGAACGATAGAATTGGGGCAAACTTCCCACACAGAACCCCCATGACCAACAAAAAATACTTAAGGCCATCCAGTCCAACTCCCTTCAGGTCAAGAAAACGTAATCAAATACTGTTTACCCACAAGCATAGAGAAATTACATATATTAGAAACCAACACTCTCTCATTACTTTATTTTCCAGATCACCAGTCTGGGTCACAGCAACGCATGGCAGGGGACGGCTTGTAATATAATATATTGCATGTATATATATCTTGTAAGCCGCTCTGAGTCCCCTTCGGGGTGAGAAGGGCAGCATATAAATATCGTAAATAAATAAAAGTAATACAGTCATAATATCTCTAAAGTGGGGTATAAATATATAATAATAATAAACGTAATAGCAATTTACCTATCGTATATACTCGAGTATAAGCCGGCCCGAATATAAGTCAAGGCACCTAATTTTACCACAAAAAAACTGGAAAAACATTTTAACTCGAGTATAAGCCGAGGGTGAGAAATGTAGCTGCTACTGGTAACCATCAGGAGGTTAAATGTTTATGAGTATTTACATAAAACTTTAATTTAAGATAAGACTGCCCAACTCTGATTCAACCAGTATTCTAACCTCCTTCAATGTAAATGTGCTTCTTACCTATTACCTGGTTGGATCACAACCAGACACAGTGAAGACATCTGCCCTTGCGCTATGCTACTCTGCTGCTGAGTACGCATGCCCAGTGTGGAACACATCTCACCACACTAAAACAGTAGATGTGGCTCTTAATGAGACATGCCGCATTACCGCAGGGTGTCTGCGCCCCACACCACTGGAGAAATTACACTGCTTAGCTGGTATAGCACCACCTGACATCCGCTGGGAAGTAGCAGCCAATAGTGAAAGGACCAAGGCAAAGACATCTCCAGCCCATCCCCTGTTTGGGTATCAGCCAGCACGTCAACGACTTAAATCAAGACATAGTTTTCTCAGATCTACAGAGACACTCGCTGGAACACCTCAGCAAGCGAGAGTCCAAAAGTGGCAGGCCCAAACCCAGCACCTCAATCCATGGGTGATACCAGATGAGAGACTGCCCCCTGGGCACACAGAAGACTGGGCGACTTGGAAGGCGCTGAACAGACTGTGCTCTGGTACCACGAGATGCAGAGCCAACCTTAAGAAATGGGGCTACAAGGTGGAATCCACGACATGCGAGTGTGGAGAAGAACAAACCACTGACCACCTGCTGCAATGCATCCTGAGCCCTGCTGCATGCACAATGGAGGACCTTCTTGCGGCAACACCAGAGGCACTCCAAGTGGCCAGATACTGGTCAAAGGACATTTAACCAACTACCAAGCTTGCAAACTCTGTTTTGTCTAGGTTCTTGTGGGTTTTTTTCGGGCTATATGGCCATGTTCTAGAGGCATTTTTTCCTGACATTTCGCCTGCATCTATGGCAAGCATCCCCTGTTTTGTCTGTTTGTTAAAAATTTGTTAAAAATGTAATACAATTGTCTGGTTGATACTGACACGATAAACAAATTTTGAGATAGGCTAATTTTTATAATATTATAATGCAATGCAATATAATACTACTAATGATAATATGATATAATAATTATATATTTATATTGCATGTAATATTGCTAATAATATTACAATATAATGGTATAGTACAATATAGTAATATATAATACTGATATTGTACTATGCTAATAACATAATATATTGTGTGTGTGTGTGTATATATATATATCTTCTAATTTGCTCTGAGTCCCCTTCAGGGTGAAAAGGGCGGCATATAAATGTCGTAAATAAATAAATACGAGTAATACAGTCATAATATCTCTAAAGTGGGGTATAAATATATAATAATAATAATAATAATAATAATAATAAATATAATAGCAATTTACCTATTCATTTTGAGACAGCTCAATCTAATAACAATACATTTATGATTATGAGGAGTAATTCTATTTTAGTGCTCAGTGCTTTTAGGTTTTGAAAGGGCATATTGCATTGGTTTTCAGGACTGTTTGCCTTTAGGAGAGAAAAAGAGGCATACAGATAAATATAATTATTACAATGCTACAACTCTTGCCTGATTGTGTGTGTGTGTATATGTGTGTGTGTGTGTGTGTGTGTGTGTGTGTGTGTGTATATATATATATATATATCTTCTAATCTGCTCTGAGTCCCCTTCGGGGTGAGAAGGGTGGCATATAAATGTCGTAAAAAAATAAATACTAGTAATGCAGTCATAATATCTCTAAAGTGGGGTATAAATATATAATAATAATAATAATAATAATAGTAAATATAATAGCAATTTACCTATTCATTTTGAGATAGCTCAATCTAATAATAATGCATTTATTATTATGAGGAGTAATTCTATTTTAGTGCTCAGTGCTTTTAGGTTTTGAAAGGGCACACTGCATTGGTTTTCAGAACTGTTTGCCTTTAGGAGAGAAAAAGAGGCATATAGATAAATATAATTATTACAATGCTACAACTCTTGCCTGATTGTGTGTGTGTGTGTGTATCTTCTAATCTGCTCTGAGTCCCCTTCGGGGTGATAAGGGCGGCATATAAATGTCGTAAAGAAATAAATAATAGTAATACAGTCATAATATCTCTAAAGTGGGGTATAAATATATAATAATAATAATAAATATAATAACAATTTACCTATTCATTTTGTGATAGCTCAATCTAATAATAAGACATTTATGATTATGAGGAGTAATTCTATTTTAGTGCTCGGTGCTTTTAGGTTTTGAAAGGGCACACTGCATTGGTTTTCAGAACTGTTTGCCTTTAGGAGAGAAAAAGAGGCATATAGATAAATATAATTATTACAATGCTACAACTCTTGCCTGATTGTGTGTGTATGTGTGTGTGTGTATATATATATATATATATATCTTCTAATCTGCTCTGAGTCCCCTTCGGGGTGATAAGGGCGGCATATAAATGTCGTAAAGAAATAAATAATAGTAATACAGTCATAATATCTCTAAAGTGGGGTATAAATATATAATAATAATAATAAATATAATAACAATTTACCTATTCATTTTGTGATAGCTCAATCTAATAATAAGACATTTATGATTATGAGGAGTAATTCTATTTTAGTGCTCGGTGCTTTTAGGTTTTGAAAGGGCACACTGCATTGGTTTTCAGAACTGTTTGGCTTTAGGAGAGAAAAAGAGGCCTACAAATAAAGATAATTATGACAATGCTACGACTCTTGCCTGAATGAGGCCTCCCTCACACCCTCCTCTGCACAAGGCCTCCCTCACTCCCTCCTCAATCTCCCTAAATTGGAAACAGGGAGGCTTTGCGACCACCAAGGCCTCTCCCACCCGCTCCAGCCTTTGGAGTGGGCGGAAGAGAAGAAGAAGGCCCTTCCATGTCCCCCCTTCGATCCCCTCTCGCCGCTTCTCGCCGCTTACCTGGGGATGGAGGAGGAGGAGGCATCCGCAGGGCCCGCCTCACTCGCCGGTCTCTCACACAGACAATATGGCGGAGGCTCAAAGCGAGGCTGGCCGGAAGCGGAAGCCGCTCCCTCGCCGGTTAGCGCACGCACGTACGCACGCACGCTCGCTCGCTCTAGGCGCGCACGACTCTGTCGCCAGAAGAGGAACTTTTGCGCCTGCGCGGACGGCGGCTCCAGCGTTCTAAACCCTGGAGTGTTCTCTGCGCATGCGCCATATTTCCAGTGCAGGGAAGGCTATGGATGGAGCAGCTCATCAACTACATGTACACGGTGCTATGGAAATAATAATAATAATAATAAGGCAACACAAGACTTATTTCAGTGCAGGAAAGGAAAGGATACAGATCGAAATGCTCAGAAGCAGAAGTATTTTTGATTTTCAGATTTTTAGGAGACATCTACACTCTAGAATTAATGCAGTTTGGCACCACTTTAACTGCCATTGTATTAACTGTCATTGCTCAAAGCCATGCATGGGCAAACTTTACCCCCCCCCCCCGGATGTTTTGGTAAGTTTTTGGGAACCGTGGGAGTTGAAGTCCAAAACCCCTGGAGGAGAGCTGAAGTTTGTCCATGCCTGTTCAAAGCTATGAAATCCTGAGAGTTGTAGTTTTACAAGGTCTTCTAAGGCTCCTTCCACACAGCTAAATAAAATCCCACATTTTCTTCTTTGAGCTGGAATTTATGGCAGTGTAGACTCGGATAACTGAGTTCGCAGCAGATAATGTGAGTTTTCTGCCTTTATATTCTAGGTTATATGGCTGTGCGGAAGGACTCATAACCTCTTCCAAAGATTGCTTGTGCCTCACCAAAGTACCACTCCCAGGATTCTCTTTGCATTGAGCCGGACCAGTTAAAAGTGGGGACAAACTGCAGACTTTCCAAACTTTCCCTGTTGGCAACACACTTTTCTTGGCACGCATCCTTTCGCAACAGTTGTGTAGTTTCCTCGATAACTGCTAAAGTGGTTGTCACAAACATCATTTTCAACAGACTTTATCTTTTTTTCTTTTCTTTTTTGGATCTTAAGTTATTCTTCCTTTTGCTTTTTAATTGATATTTTCTACAATAAGGAGTAAAACTTATTCAAGTTATTGTTAGTAGTTTAATTGAATCATCACCGAAAAGGGCAATTAAACAATGCAATTTATATTGTCGAAGGCTTTCATGGCCGGAATCACTTGGTTGTTGTAGTTTTTTTTCGGGCTATTTGGCCATGTTTTATTTATTTATTTACTTATTTCGGGTACTTCTACCCCGCCCTTCTCAACTCCCTAAGGGGACTCAGGGCGGCTTCCAACCAGCATATGTTTGATGACTACAATTCAACACAATAAAATACATATTAACAATAATTAAAAACAGTTGAAACATTACATTAATACAATAAAAAGCCAGCCTGGTGGCCATCGTTTCGCCAAGTCCGTAATTAATAAAATAATTCTGCTTATCATAGTCCATTTCCAAAGCTTTAGTAATCATTGTCCTTGTCAGTCTGCCAGGTTACCCAAAGGCCTAGTCCCATATCCATGTTTTTAATTTCCTTCTGAAAGAGAGGAGGGATGGCGATGATCTAATTTCCCCGGGGAGTGAATTCCACAGGCTGGGGGCCACCACCAAGAAGGCCCTGTCCCTCGTCCCTTCTAATCCCATCTGTGACAAGGGCAGGGCCGAGAGCAGGGCCCCTCCAGAACATCTTAAACTCCTAGGCGGGACGTAGAAGGAGATACGTTCGGACAGGTACGCTGGGCCTTTCTCTCTGATCTACAAGAAACCCTTTCCTGCACTGAAAAAAAAGAGGTAGTGTTGCCTTATAACATAACAAAATGTATTATTATAATTATATTATTATAATTATTATTTCCATAGCACCATGTGCATGCAGTCTTGGATGCTCAATCTGTATCTTTTTCTGCATTAAAAAAGGGCTAATGTATTGTTGAAGGCTTTCATGGCCGGAATCACTGGGTTGTAGGTTTTTTCGGGCTATATGGCCATGGTCTAGAGGCATTATCTCCTGACGTTTCGCCTGCATCTATGGCAAGCATCCTCACTACCTCTGAGGATGCTTGCCATAGATGCAGGCGAAACGTCAGGAGATAATGCCTCTAGACCATGGCCATATAGCCTGAAAAAACCTACAACAACCCAATGCAATTTATAACATTATATTAAGTTATATCGTGGCATCTTTCAAAATACTAACATTTTTGAAAAGTCAGTGTTCTTTCTGCTTAAAGGAGGGTATTGTTTTCTATTCAATCTGGGTATTAGTAACTTAACCATTTTAGTGATAATTACTGCAACTCAATCAACCACTTCTGCAACTTATAAACATTATAACACTTGAACAGCACCAGTTCCCTGCTTCTGTAGTGATTAAATCTCTCTGGATGGTTTTAAACAGAGGCTGGATGGCCATACGGTGATACCTTGATTGGCTGAAGGGGGTTAGACTAGGTGCCCTTTGGGAGTCTCTTTCAGTGGAGTCTCCTTCTCTGGAGGTTTTTGAACTGAGGCTGGTGGCTGTCTGTTGGGAGGTCTTTGACTGTCTTCCTGTCTGGGTGAAGGAGGTTAGACTAGATGCCCTTTGAGGGTCCCTTCTGTACTTTTCTTCCAACTCCATAATAGAAAGTTCTGTTTCAGGCACAGACTAACTTCAGCTCTTCAGATGTTTTGGACTTCAACTCCCACAATTCCTAACAGCCAGTAGGCTGTTAGGAATTGTGAGACTTGAAGTCCAAAACAGCTGGAGGGCCGAAGTTTGCCCTCGCCTAACAGATGCACCTAAGTGACCAACTAAACACTGCTGAATCCACTGGAAGGAAATGTTGCAAATCACGAGATTCACCACTAGAGGACATCTTCGATCTATAAGTAGTGTGCCTTCAAGTCTTTTCTAACTTATGGTGGTCCCAAAAAGTGATTTTATTACAGTGTTTTCTTGTTAAGGTTTATTAGGAGGAGGTTTGCCATTGCTTTCCTCAGGGGCTGAGAGAGTGTGACCCTACCCAGGGTCACCGGGTGGGTCTCCATGTTCCAAGCAGGTGCATTTGTTCTCTCTTACAAATAATTCTGCTCCTTTATCTCACCCTGAGTTTTAAAAGCATTTTATGTACATATGGCCTGCTCACTGTCATTATGTTTGGTTTACTGCTTTTTTATATTTTGTGTATATTGTTTATTATTATTATTATTATTATTATTATTATTATTATTACTATTGATTCCACAGCAAGCTGATCCCTAATCCATCTAAAACACAGACATGTGCTTTTCATCTTAAGAATAGACAAGCATCCTGAGCTCTGAGGATTACCTGGGAAGGAATCCCACTGGAGCATTGCAGCACACCCAAATACCTGGGAGTTACCCCGGACTGTGCCCTGACCTACAAGAAGCACTGCCTGAATATCAAGCAAAAAGCGGGCGCTAGAAACAATATCATACGAAAGCTGACTGGCACAACCTGGGGATCACAACCAGACACAGTGAAGACATCTGCCTTGCGCTATGCTACTCTGCTGCTGAGTATGCATGCCCAGTGTGGAACACATCTCACCACACTAAAACAGTGGATGTGGCTCTTAATGAGACATGCCGCATTATCACGGGGTGTCTGCGCCCTACACCACTGGAGAAATTACACTGTTTAGCCTATCGCACCACCTGACATCCGCCGGGAAGTAGCAGCCAATAGCGAAAGGACCAAGGCAGAGACATCTCCAGCTCATCCCCTGTTTGGGTATCAGCCAGCACGTCAACGACTTAAATAAATAGTTTTCTAAGATCTACAGAGACACTCGCTGGAACACCTCAGCAAGCGAGAGTCCAAAAGTGGCAGGCTCAAACCCAGAACCTCAATCAATGGCTGATACCAAATGAGAGACTCCCCCCTGGGCACACAGAGGACTGGGCGACTTGGAAGGCGCTGAACAGACTGCGCTCTGGCACCACGAGATGCAGAGCCAACCTCAAGAAATGGGGCCACAAAGTGGAATCCACGGCATGCGAGTGTGGAGAAGAACAAACCACTGACCACCTGCTGCAATGCAACCTGAGCCCTGCCACATGCACAAGGGAGGACCTCCTTGTAGCAACACCAGAGGCACTCCAAGTGGCCAGATACTGGTCAAAGGACATTTAATCAACTACCAAGCTTGCAAACTTTGTGTTTTTTTTTGTTTGTTTGTTAAAAAATGCAGTGCAACCTGTTCCTGACACGATAAATTATTATTGTTTATGATATTTATATGATTTGTACTTTATTGCAATATTGTTTATTTTATTGTAATTTGTATTTTATTTTATTGTAATTTGTTGTTTGGGCTTGGCCTCATGTAAGCCGCCTCAAGTCCCCATTGGGGGAGATGGTGGCGGGGTACAAATAAAAATTATTATTATTATTATTATTATTATTATTATTATTATTATTATTTGTATTTTCAAAAACTGCCAAAAACTTACAACAACCCACCCTGTTTTTGCTTGTGTTTGTAGGTGCATATGTGCATGAAGTCCCCAATGCAGCCCATACCAGCAGCCCTCAGGGTCAAAAAGGTTACGCACCTCTTGCCCTGAACTCCCAGAATAAAAGTTCAGGCCTATCCATCTCCAGCAGAACAAACAATACAAATTCCTTACAGGTTAACAAATAAATCTTAATGCATTTGGCAAAGTGAGTTCAAAATACAATTGTTTCTGAGGGCCTTTTAAGTCAATTCTGGCCTATGGCAGCCCTAATTGCAGAGTTTTCTTGGCAAAATTTGTTCAGAGATGGTTTTTCATTATCTTTATAGGGAGCTGAGAGAGTGTGACTTTCCCAAGGTCACCTGGTACGTTTAATGGTCAAGCAGGTATTCGAACCTTATTTATTTTATTTATTTATTTACAGCTTTTATATTCCGCCCTTCTCACCCCACAGGGGACTCAGGGCGGATTACAGTGTACACATATATGGCAAACATTCAATGCCAGTTTTTGACATACCAACATATACAGACATACACAGAGGCTATTTAACTTTTTCTGGCCACCAGGGAAGTACTTCCGCATTCCCC